CCACTCCGTGCTGGTTCTGTCACTGACAGCTACAGCTGATATCCAGCCACAGGCTGCAGCTCTGGATAACCCTTGCAAAAGCTGAGTAGAGGCAGGTGGAAGAGGTTTTTTCCTTACTTTCCTAGCCGTAGATGATTTCCAAGGTTTCTGTCAAAATTCTGCCTTATGTGAACATTTTGGTGTGTAACTTCATTGCAAATTTATTATACGTATCAGTGCTGTTGGGTTATTCTTCTTCAATGTTCAATAATTAGTCTTTTATTCTACCTGTGAATCATGGCAACATTGGTTAGTCATGTAGTGCATTACATCTCATACTTGTACAGAATAATTACAAGATATTTATGTATGTACGAATGCATATGCACACTATATATAAAGTAGTTAATAATTAGCTTTAGTTTTGCTTTTGGATTAGTTACAAACTAATTTATTTTATTATGTAAAATATGTATTTGTGTATTTTAATCTGGTTTGGGCTTTTTCAGCCTTGACTGCATGTGTATCTGTGCATGGGTTAGACAGTGACAAAAAGAAAATACAAACCAAAACATAAGCAGGGATGTGATAACATCTAAAACTTTACCTTTATCACCCTGGCATCAAAGCTCACCCACTGCACCTCTGCAAACCAAAACAGACAATTTTTAACTTCTTTTACCAGATGCAGTTCATAAACCCACAACTCTTTTTCATGACCTTTCCTCTGGGGAGCCTCTTAATACCAAGAATCTCAGGATTAATTTCACATGAAGAAGGGAACTGCCCTGAGGGGAGCATTGTTCACCTTGATAATTAAGGACAATCATTGTGGCATTGGAAAGAACGCTATCAGTCTCAAGCAAATTACTGAAAATGGAGACTATATGAAAAAATGTCCAAAGAGTACATGGTATTTTTAATCTCTTGCATGGATTTTATGATTTGGAACAGATCAAACTTTTTCCAAAAATCTGCACGTTGACAGTGTAAGCTGTACTTAAAAGTGATGTGTTTTATGTTGGGAGCATGGATTTCTATTGATTTTGAAACCCTAGTGTATAAAGAGTTTAAAGTATATTTCTGAATACACAAGGCTTTCTGTCTCACCTCTCACAGAACTCTGCAATTTCTACCGACAGAATTCTACCTACCACTCTACAGTTTAAGAATCCAAGATGAATGGTATTGTCATTTTCATATGTATAAATATTTACAAATCAGGCTCATAAAAATCAATGAGGTCTAGTCCATACGTTTTTCTGTAGTTTCAAAAATCAGTTTATACCTGAGATAATGTGCCTGACACTGGGAAAGTTCTTTTCAGATAAAGCCAGCAGACAGACGTGAGCTGCAGGCTGGCCACTCCTGCATAGCTGCAATGTTTGACATTCACTGGGCAACGCCTCACGCATTGTGCTGCTCTTCCTTTTGGACTCACTTCGGGGTCACAGCCTCATCTGGATCTGTATCCAACCCAGAAAAATACCTGTGGTTTGCTAGAAGCTTCATTTGTAGTGTGGTTTTCAAGTCAATTACCTTGAATTTCTGCTGAGTCCCAGAACTGACAGCACATTTGTTTTCCCCAGTAGAAACTGGGGAGAGAGGAGAGGACCAAACATAGGTGGGTGGAACATAATCCTGGATGATGAAGGCTAAAATTTAATTTTTTTCCCCTCATGGTTGTATGTGATACATTGTACTAAACTTTGGGATTTGCTGCATTTCAATGTAACAAAGGAGAAAATTTGCATAGATAGATACTGCCATACATATCACTCAAATCTGGCTTCAGAAATTATTCAAGATTAATTTTTAAATTGTTTTGTTTTTTAGTTAAAGTTTGGCTCTATTCAGGGAATTACAAAACATCAAACCTCAAGGAAGAGGTTTGATATTCTGTAATATCAAAATATTACAAAAGGTTAGAGGTTTCCCTAATTTTCTCTTGATTGGTGTCAAAGTTTATGTCTTCTGTCACAGGGGAGGAAATCCCCACTTAGCAGTGGAATGGAGTCCAGCAGGCAATCTTCAGACTGCACTAAACTAGCAGAGGACATAAAATTTATATGGTATCAGGTGTTTATAACGTGCAAAACTACATGTATCCATAGATAAGGAAATAAACCTTTATTTTCAATAGTTAGGATTGGCATTATTGCTTTCTAGAACAAGAATGTCATCAAACAAGGCTTATCAACAAATAGAATTTTCGTTATTTAAATTTCCAATTTCCATTTACTGAACATGCTGTGAACAAAAATGGCAGGAGAAGAAATTAAATGTACTTCTCTGTCTTTGTTGTTGTGGGTGTCACTAAACAGGGTGGGACTGAACACATCAAATTAAAAAGAAAAATAAAGTTAATCCTGATGGTTTTGGGTTTCAGAGGAAGACAAGAGAACAAAAACTTGCAGTGAGTTTCTTCGTAAAACACAGGAAGAGGATGAAAGAAATTTAAAAGAACTATTAATAACTAGTTTTAATACTAAGACATCTTTTAAACTACCCTAGATAAAAATCCAGTTACACATGAGATTTTGTACTTTATTTTGTAGATTTTGTGAATGACTCATAAGCTTGCAGTCATATCATTATGCAAGTTATATTAATAAAATATGTATGCTTGGCAAAAATTTCATCCTATCCTGCCAGAATTTAGTGCACCTTTTTATTGGGAGGCATTTGACGTCAATTCGTGCCCTTTGGAGATGAGACATGGTGGGGAAAATGAGTCTGTGATTCTCCATTCCAATTTTAGACTCCTAATATCTTGAATTACATGGAAATGTATCCATTACTATTAAAAGCACAAAACCTCTTTTTGAATACTTGTTCTACATCACACATCATTGCAGTAAAGAACAACCTGTGTGCTCCTGATGTGGTCATCTGCTCTTTTTCCAGCCAATAAACATTGGAAAAACAGTTGATGTTTCTGCTGTCCATCACTACTTGTATCTGTTTCTGATCAGCCCTGTGCAGAACTCCATGGCTAATGCCATGCAAAATCTCAGCAAGTCTCAGTGGATTTGTTCACTTGCAGATGTTCTGAAAGAATAAGTAGAAACCGTGACAGAAAACACTGATTTTGATACCAAACACTTGTATGCTGCTGCAAGCTGCAAGGAAAACTTATTTTTTCCTAGTTAATGATAGTAAGTGTCTGACTGACTTGGATAATTACGACTGTTCTACTCAAACATCCAAATCTTCACCCAAATGAGTAAACTGTTGGAGTGGTGTTTAGGCCTTCAGTGCTTAAAAAGCTGACTCAGGCATCCATCAGCTGACTCTCCTTCTGTCAGACAAACAAGAAGCTGCTTCTCCATCTCCAGGTAAATATGTGCTGCCTACATGCTTTTCATATAAACCACATATAGCTAAGAATAAACTTGGGAAGAAATTGCCAATAAACAATGGTTTCTTGAAGCAAGCTAGAGGAGCCTTCTAATAGAAGCAACAATGCCAAGCCCTTGGCCTTAAAGCAAGATTTCCTTGCAAGTCTGGATGGAGCCCAACCAGTTTACAAAACACTGCAACAACTGCAGGAACTGGGGCAAGTGTCTGGGCAGCTTCCCTCCTTCCTGCAGCAGCGTTTAGACCTCCTTTATAAACTGAACCTACCAGCAGAGCTGGAATGGGTGATGTGCTTCTGGGTCAGCAGAGCCCTGAATATCCAGCATGATGCAGGCTGACATCACTGAAGGTTTCATCTGCTACTGCCCTGTTCCTGTGCAGCTCCACCACTCCAATTACTGTCAGATCCAGTTGTTTGTCATCAGGCGCTGAGATGGGTGACGCTTCCTGAGGGCTCCCTGGAGCCAGCAGGGAGGGTCTGCTGCCTGCAGCCAGCTGGAGGAATGCAGCACAATCTGTTAGACCTGTCAGAGTGACCCCAGGGAAACCTGCACACGCCAGCCCCGTGTGGAAGCTGTGCATTTTAAACATGGCCCTCACCTCCACCCCGTCTGGAGCACCTTGGCAAAGTGTCACAGGCTGACATCAGAAAGTAAATGCAGGGGTGGCTTTAGGCAGATGGCTGTGAACATTCCCCCTCCCTCTGCAGAAAAAAGTAATTTCCCAATACCTTGAGGAGAGGCCTCACCCATTTTTCTCAGGTCTGACAGCCGAGGGCTTAGGCACTAATTGATTCTACAGGCTTCCAACCATGCGGATTAGTCCTACAGCCTCTTCCCCAAGGAAGCGGCTGATGAGAACTCCCTAAAGACTTGGACACTTTTACTTCCTTCTGCTTATAGACAGGGCCTCCTGACACAAGGATGTGGTCAGGAGCTGCTGCTGTTACCCCTTCAGAGCAGCGCATCTCATCCAACAGCTGTTCCACCCATCCAGCCTGAGCCTGGGGCTCCCTGGCACACAACACCCCAAACACTGACTTCTTTTACTGCACACAACGCCACAAGACAAACTCTTCAAACTGTGCCCATTCCTGCACGCAACACCTGTGTTTTCCATTTCATAACCTGACCTGCATCAGATCCCCTGGATGTGAGGGCTAGCACCGCACCAAACCACGGGATGTGCGGCCAATTTCCAAACCGACCGTGTTTGTGTGGTGGGAATGAGTTCACACCAAGGTGACGGCCAAGGTGGAGCCAGAGAGAAGCTGAGCTAGAATGGCTTGCAGGGATGCAATGGCTGGGGAAGGAGGCTGTCATATGAACAGGGTGCCCAATTCGGAGGCAAGCTGGCAGAGGAGCCGGCGAGAGGCCGACGGAGGAGCCTGGTGTTGCACCCTCCGCCCGGCTCCATCTCGGGGGAAAGACAAAATCCTTGCCATGGGCTGCCATGGAGCCTGGAGCCACCTTGGGTCGGCTGTCGACACCCAAACGCTTTCCCAAAGGGAACGACTTTCGTGAGCAGAAGAACGCCTGTGCCCTGAGGAGCAGCCCCCCAAAACAAGGCTGTTTTAAAAAAAGCCACTCCGGCTGCAGCTGAGCGCCGTCCCGCCCGCACTCGCGGCCCCCCTGGCTCCCCCGTCCCGGTTCGGCCCCGGCAGGAAGGGGAGGGACCGCCGGCCTCTCCAGCCGCCCGCGGAGCTGCGAGCCGCCGGGATCGGCCCGGGATCGGCATGTCGGCGCCCGGGACGGGCAGGCAGCCGCCGCCCGCGGCGGTAAGGCGGGCTCGGGGACGCGGAGGGGCGTGAGGAGGGCGGCGGTGCGGTGAGGGGCGTGAGGAGGGCGGCGGTGCGGTGAGGGGCGTGAGGAGGGCGGCGGTGGCCCCGGTGCCCCGCGGCCCGGCGGGGGAGCGGCTCGGCGCCGGCACCGCCCTGGGCGCGCCCCGGCCGGGCCGGGCAGTGCCGGGCGGCGCGGGCAGCAGCAGCAGCCGCAGCCATGGCTTTCGCCCGCTGGTGGTACGCCATGGTGAGTGCGGGGGAGAGCCCCGGGACCACCCCCGTGGGGAGCCGGGACCGCCCCGGGATGCCGCTCCCGATGCTCCCGCCGCTCCCCGGCGTTCGGGGTGGAGAAGGGGGTTGTGGTGCGGCTGCCTTTTCAAACAAAACGCCCCGGTGCTTCGGGTCGGGTGGAAGCGCGGTGCGCGCCAGCTGTCTGTCCCGTCCGAGAAAGCGACGCAGGAAACTGGAGTTTTTGGTGCTGTTGGCAGTTTTCGCCCGTCGCCCGAGTGAGGCAGGCTCGCGGGGTGATGAAACCGCGGCGGAACGCGTAAGACAGGGTTTTATGCGGGGATGTTCCCGTTTTGGGGAAAACGGTGCTGCGCCTTTTCCCGGGAGCGTGCTGCGCACGGCAGGAGCCGGCCTTTGCCTTGTCCTCCCCGAGCTAACCACAGCTCTCCGTGTGGTTCGGATGGACTTGGGTCCTGCGACTGCTTTGAAAGGCTTTAAAAAGCCTTTAAGAAACCTTTATGGTTTCTTACGTGTAGGAGGAAGTGGTTGGCCTCTGTATGGAATGGTGAAAAGGGAAAAAAAGCCTGCATTCTGTTAAAGTTTTACGGAAAGCGTGTGTTGTGAAATGTTGGTTTCAGAGAAAATATCACTTTAATGTATTTCCTAAATGTGTGATAAGGTAGATGAAACCTCTTGAAGTTGTAACTGTACTTTTAAGTTGCTTCTTGTAGCTTGGATCAGTGTTTTCGGGTGCCAGTTATTGTATTAAGTCAAGTGTGGTGGAGGTGACACAAAATCACAAAGGGGAAAGTTTGAGAATTACTGCACTAAGCTATGGAATGGATGTAAAAGGCCTCGTTAGCTCTGTGTCATTGCATCCAAGTGAAGAAAGGAGATCAAGATATGGCTGTGTGTGATGAGGTAAGAAAACTGCTCCCACAGCTGCTCTTTTGGAAACTCCTGGTTGTGATTGTTGGCACTTGTGGGACTGGAGTCCTCTCCCGTGCATAGGGAGGCAGGAGAGGTGGGTGAGAGGGACAGACACAAAGGAGATTAAGGTTTTTACTGGCTGGTGTATTTAAAGCTGGGATTGAATGCAATAAGAATCTGGGTTTCACGTTTCCATTCCTTACCTGGCTTGATTGTAGCTCCCCTGCTACAGTCTTTGCAACTCTTTGCATCTGATAGTTTTCCAAGCAGTGTCAAAGATCTCTGTCTTCTCCCAGTTCCAGCTGAGAGCAAAAGTCAGATTCCCATCTCCTTAAATATCTGTAATACTGCGTTGATTGACTTAAGCTGAGAATCTTGCAAGACTTCACTTCTCACCCAGTTACTGCAAGTCCTTCAAGATGCTGCGCAGTGGCCTTAAACCAAAGGCTTGTTAATGCCTTCTGAATCTCCTGAGGTTTAGAAGGAATTTCTTGCAAGCAAAGCCTTTAGTGATGATTGGATTTTTGTGCACATAGGTGTCTGCTCAGTTGTTAGCAATTTTCTTGTGCTTTTTCACCAGTTACTCTCTAGTTTATGAGTGCTGTTTGAGTCAGAAGTTTAAAGGTGTGTTTTAATAGTGTGGTGACATTTTTGTGCACTTCAAAACAGGATGAAGATCTCAGTGTAAACTTTCTTCCTCATGACACTTATGTATTTTTGTGGATATGTGATTATGGGTAGGATTGTGTGGGTTTTTGGGTTTTTTTGGTTTTTTTTTAGTTAGTAAGGTTGGAAAATATTTCGAGCTGGCTTAAAAGCTACAAGGAATTGTTAGATCATGAATTAAACTAAAATTATCACTTCAGCTGTATGCCCACTGTTGATGTAAGAAAGCTGGAGCTGCTCTGACCCAGTGCCTTGGTTTTGAATCTGTGTCTCTGGCACTGAAATTTGAGCAGGAAAAGGAAAGATTGCCCAAAGAAAGTCAGCTTGTCATCATGAGTTGTGAATATGAAGGAACAGTGGATGTACACTGTCCCACAAAACCTGAGCTTGGCCTTCTGGCCAAGCAGATTGATTTACTGCCTTTTTTTTTTCTTTTTTTGTGTTGTTGGTGATTTTTGTTGTTGTTTGTTTTTTTTTGTTTATTTTCTTTGGTTGGTTTTTGTTTTGGTTTGAGTTTTTTGGGGTTTTTTTCGTTGTTTGTTTGGGTTTTCTTTTTTTTTGTTTTGTTTTATTTCTTTTTGTATATTTCCTATTTTTAGTGGAGTGTTCAAAGCTTGAAAATTCAGATAAGAAAAGAGTTGTTGAAGGGCGTTATTGAAATGGGATCCCTCATCATACCTTATTCACCAGCTGTTCTGGGAACCAGCATGGTTTCCCCAGGTACATTGTGAAGCTGTGCTTTCTCAGGTTACCTCCTCAGGACAGCAGACTTTCCTGCAAGGCAGTACTTTCACAGGCTGTTTTATTATCTGGGGCCAGGGAGTGAGTGTCAGGGCTCTGTGTGTACACAGTGCATTACTCAACTTACTGGGAAAAAAAAAAACAAAACAAAACAAAACAAAAACCCAAAAAAAACTACTCTAGTCTGACCATATGTGCTTTGTTTCCCTGAGTTGGAATAAACATATTTGTCCACTGAGTCAAAGAGTCTTTATTATAGATGCTGTTTGACATTGCCTTCTGGAGGGAAGATGTCATGCTTTTAGTGTCTGACTTGAGTTTAGGGATAGCAAAGCTGTGGTCCTTGTCCTGGTCTGTTCTGCTTCCTTTCTGGGCACTGAAGCTGCCCAGGGGTCCCTCAGGGAGTTGTTCTGCCTGAGGTTGAGGGAATCCTGCGAGTCCCTTTCCGTATGTCCCTCCTAGTTCTGGGTCTGGGTGCTCTTTTGGTGCCATAGTCCTGTCTGCTGTGGGTTTCTTTGGTGCGAAGATGAGGTGGACTTAGGGAGGAAGGGTAACACAGATTCAGCCCTGATAAAGGCTTGGTGTGCTCAGTAAGAAGCATTTCCTACATTCCCTGACTTGGTTTAGTAAAAGGAAAAAAAAAAAAAAAAAAGCCCTAGAGACCCTATACTTCAATTGGTGTTACTGCTTTTAAGGCTATGTCTGAATTTGAAGAAGAAAACAAATGAAAGCAAGAGAAGACTTTAATAGCTGTATTCAGGATAATACTTGACTTTTGGAGTATTTTGATGCTGGGGGTATCCATGCAAGAATAGAGCCTGATCAACAGTGCTCTCCTTTTAACTCCTGAGCCTTATGGCAGTGCTGGCTCTGAAATTCCTGTTCTGTCAGCAACAGGAGACTTGCTGGCACTGCTCTCACTGATAACGTGTGCGATGTGCTTTTATTGTAGCAGTAAAAAGCACAGATAGCTGGGTAAATTGTGTCTCTACTGGAAGTGCTATTATGGAGCAGTGAATCAATTAATCTCTTACTTGAATAGACAACCAAAGGGGTCTTGTTTTTCCTCTAAAGAGGCACATTTGGAATATGATTATAGCATTTCTTAATTTGAAACTCACTGAGCGTCTCACTCATAACCAAATTAGTTTTAAAAACTTGAGTTGTTAGAGGTTGTCCAAAACAATTATTGACATTTTTGTTGCTATAGTACTTTTTTCAGCTTGCATTTTCTCCTGCTGATGTGCTGGAACTGATTTCTGTTGAACATAGTGCAGTGATACATGGATCATTACTTTCTGCCTATAGCCATGTAAAGAAGAATCTGCAGGAACTCATTACTTGGTGGATTAGCAGGCTCTGCCTCCTGCTGCTCAGTCCCGAAAACAGAAGGGAATAAATGGGTCTTGAATCATCTCCTGTCTTTACTTAACGAAACAAACCAGATGTGAATTCTCCTTCCCAGATGTCTCAGTTGCTGTGGGAAGTTACACTAGCTGAGATACTAGAGAGTAGCTGTATTATGTTGCTTTTTATATTAACTTCTTGCTTTTTGCTCTTACTATTTTTGAGAAGAGATTTTTTGAGGGACCATGTTCACCACTTTTCAGAGAGGCAGTCAGTTACAACATGCTGGATATCAGTTTGTGTGCTGAGCAAAATGTGTCTTTCTTTACATTGCTGCTGCACATGGGAAGCTACTGGGATTCCACATCAGGTTAAGTGAAAAGAAAAGGAGATAAAAGACGCAGGAAGTTCAGGGATCCTGGAAGAACAGTATTTCCTAACGTGCACCTGTACCTGAAGTGTTGGAGCTTTTTTTTTTTTTTTTTCTGTATCAGCACCAGAATTACAGCAGTCATGGTAACAGCTTTCTTTCAGGTGAGGAGGTCTGGGCATAACAAACATTTCAGTGTGTCTGTGGGGAGTTCAGATGTTGGAGTGGTTTGCACACATCATGTTGGTGTCTCTCAGAGTTGCTCAGTTCTGCTGAAGCCTGTGATTCTGACATTTCCAAATCAAGCACTGGAGAATGCTTTGCTGGCGAGGGATGACTGATAAGCTGAATGTATTCCAGAACTTTTCACAAGAACAGTCATGTAACTGCCCTAAGAGTCATGACCTTCTGACTGATTTCTCTTGAAGTTATCCAGCAGGCCATTTAGAAATCCTGTCCATTAGTGAGAATAAAAACTGTCATATTGCTGGTAGCTGAAGGGAATCGCCCTGTACTGAAAAGTTTGAGAATTTCTGCGTGTGCAAGGTTACACTTAAAGTCTAAATAACTACACATCTATTTTCTCTGTTCACAGCATGGTGACAAGAAGGCAAGTGAAGCTTCTTCCAAGGCAGGAGAGAAAAAAGCAGAAGTGGAAGAGGTAAATCCAAGTATTTTAATATATTAAGAAGAAAAGTTGGTCATGAATTTCCTCCTATACTGATTTTGGCCTTTTGATAGTAAAGCGATAGTTTTTGGACAATAAACCGTTGTCTCCAGACAGTCATTATTCATCCTAGGAACATTTAGTTTTGTCTTGTGCTGCTGAGCAGCCTACTGGAAATGATTTTTTTTGCTCTGTTCGTACTTTTCCCTAACACTTCACATTGGTATCCGTGGAAGTTACCTCAGTGGAGTGTCTGCTGTGCAGTGCTGGTTCCATGTGGGGCACATCTGATGGCCCCTGGTTTTTGAGTTGCCCAGAAGTACGGGTGAAGGGAGTGCACCTTGATGCTTTCCACCTGGTGGTTCATCCACAGCAGAAGCTGTGTGGGAAATAGCTTTGCCTAAGCCTGTTTGACTGCACTGCAAATCAGGGTCAGTGAATGCTTTTGTTACAGTCCCCTGAAGTAGATGATTCAGGCAATTGCTTTTCTTTCCTGTCCAGAAAGCAAGGAAAGCTTCTCTAGCCTTAGAATATGTTCCACCTTTTCTCTCCAGACAGCTTGTTTTTTTCATGAATATCACTGTGCATTTATACATTCTTGGTTTAATGCCATATTCTTTGACTGCACATTGCTCTTCTTACTAGAGTAGTGTTGGCATTTTTTGTGGGAAGGGTGGGAGTTGAGGCCTGTAGTCCAGAGTTCTGGGGCTAATGTTTCTGAGAATATACCTCTTATTGAGAATATCCAGCAAAACAAAGACTCTTACTAAAATGTATTGTCTGGATACTTCTGCTTTTTGAGTCCTTAGAATACTGCATGTATGTTTCCTCTTGTGAATTTCTTCATATGTTTTATTTTTTCCATCCTCTCTGCAGTGCTTAAAAGAGGAAATAGATCAAAAACCTCTTGCAGAGACCTACTGAGGGGCATGGGCTCCACTGTGACTCATACCTACCTCCAAAACACTCTGATTTGTTAAGCAGTTGAGGAAGAAACTCAAAATCTTTCAACAACTCTCCCAAGAGTCTGCAAAGTTACATTTTCGTTTGAAAGTCAGAGATAATTCCTATAGTCTTTGATTTTTGGGGCAGAAATTTCTAATATATCTGCAGAGAGCTTTGGACAACGTTGTCTAGAATATTGAGTTTGTTCACCTGCCTGCTAGAAAAGGTTTGCCATTAGAAAAAATACAAGAAAATATTGAGGTCTTTGAAGAGTTTGTATCCATACTGGAAGGAAAACAGTAAAATCATTATGGTTGTTGTTTAACCAGAAATAACAACAAACATCTCTTGTCCCTCAGATTCTTTGGGTGTATAGTACTGAGAGAGTGAGAGAAGGAGGGCAGAGTTTTGAAAATCAAACTTAGGAAGGGCCTGATGCTGGTTTGAGTGGGAGATGCAAGTTAGCCACAGCATCAAGAATAGTGAATAGTGTTAGGGTGTAGAAGAGGCTTCTTACCCCTTTCTTCTTGGAGACTTAAAAGCAGACTGAAGAAAACACAGCCGGTTTGCTGTTGATAGAAACCTGTTTGGTAAGAAGGGCTGGAGCTGTGATACCGTGGTGGACAAGGCCATGTTGTCCTTGGAAAGATTGATCTCCATCATTTCGTTGCCTCAAGATATCAGCCATATCTCTCATATTTGCTTGCATAATTTCAGCAGTGCTGCTCAAGCTGTGAGTCTAGACAGGATGGGGGATCTGCTTGCACAGGCAGGGTCAACTTTGGTTTGAGACTGACACAATCTGTCAGTCCAGTGATGAGCAGCTGAGTGTGTATCTGTGAATGAAGCCTTGTGGAAACAGGCAAAAGCTGTGCTGGAAGTTCCAGATGTGTTAGAATACGTAATTGAAAAAAAAAAAAAAAAATTCGTTCTTTTTTCGTTTTGGTTTTCATTAAAGTTTTTTTTGTTTTTGGGCTTTGTTCCGGGGTTCAGTTGTTGGGGTTTTTTTTTAAACCTTTGTTTTTTTGTTTTTAGGACCTTTCCTTTTTTTGGTTTTCCTTTTTGGGGGGATTCATTCCTTTGTTGAAATTTTTGGGGAAAAAAAAAAACCACCTGAGAATCTCACTTTAACTTTACTGAAATGTTTTCATTCCTTGTGGATGTGTGTGGGGGGGAATGTGGGAAATAGAAAAACAGAAACTTCCACAGACACTGAAGGATTTGATCTGCAGCCTTAGAAGAAACGTAGGTTGATACAGAAATAAAGTACATAGACATTTAGCAGAAATACTATAAAATTATGTTTCTGTAGTTGTAAGTAAGAGTATGCCTTAAGTAAGTAAGAAACTGTATTGATGAGATGGTGAAGGGTTTATAGGGTAGTAATGTACAGAGTAAGCTAAGAGTTTAAGAATTATAATAGAAGGATATGTGTGTAGGTGTGATAGCAGCCCATTGGGTAAGAGTATACTCATTGCAGCAGAAGTAAATAAAAGTGATAGGTTTAAAGTGCAAAATAAACTTTGTAGCAACTGCTAGTCCCCTTCTGGGCATTGCCTTCAGCTTATATATGTGTGTGCTGTTCTACCAATTCCAGATCCCTTCCACTTTTGAGGCCATTGGGGCAGGAGTGCTCTAGAAGCTCTTGGATGCTGAAATATAAATGCTTTCAAGGGGAGATGGCGCAAAATCACTGAAGAAAAACCCAGGATGATTTATAAAATAACACTGAACTTAAGAAATCCCTGACCCACAAACTAAGCCTGGAAGAGTATTTAGAAGAAGTATCAACATAGACCTGAACTATTTTTACATAACTGATTCTGTTTTCTTTCCTATCTGCTGCTGACCACTGCTGGAGACAGGGGAGTGATAAAAGTGAAGCTTATCCAAACTCAGGAGGGCAGGTCTTGCACTGTGACGAGGCATGTGGTCCTGCTGTCCTAATCTTGCACGCCACGTCCAGTCAGTGCTGCCTGTCAGAGGGCTGCCCTTGGGGCACAGTTTGTTCTGCTACACAGACACATGAAATCCATAAGAATAATGCAGAACAAGTGCTGACATTGTGTGTGGCTGTGCTCTGAAATCCCCCTGCTTTGAGCAGATCCATGTTAATAATGTGGAGAAAGGCCTGTTCTCTTTTTACTGTCTCAGAAGGAAATACCAAGGAGAGATTCTGTATCTGTGTAAAAGCCCAGCCTGTTCATGGCTGCTGTCTGTATGTGAAAATGTGATACTAAAAAGGAAGACAGAGTCATATATTGTAGGAATTGGAAGCCCCAGCTTAGAGTGAGGCCATATTTCACCAGGTATGGTGTGAAACAGGACTCTCTCTAACGTGTCGTGGCATTTTGAGTTGTTCTTTACAGGAATGTAGGCAGAACCTGCTTGTTCAGCTCATTGTACTTATCAGGAAATATATTCTTTACTTTGAAAGGATGACAGTGATAATTGGTGCTAAAGCATCTCCATCCTTTTAGAATTGATTCTTTGCTCTGAAATCAGTGTGACTGTGATACTTTTTAACACTGAGGCTTGTCACTTAGGATTCCTTATCCAGTAAAAGCATTAATGCTGAGTAAAGGCATTATGACTGGCGAAAATCTCGTTGGGGTGCCCACTGCTGGTCTGAGTTGTGGAAGTGCATGGGTAGTTTTTTCCTAGGGGTTTGTGAAGTTTCTTTTTAATTTGGTACCAAAATACTAATTTATATCTGCATTGTTTGTTTTCCTTCTCCTTTGTGCCTCACAGGACCTTGGCACTGGTGGAGGGGATTGTGGCCTTAATTCATCTTCAGTAGAGAAGTGGGAAGGTTCTGAGAAGCACAGCAGCTTCTTTAGCTGTCTCCCTTTTCTGTTTTGGTGCTTCTTTCGGCTAAAATGCCAAAGGTAGTTGAAAAATAACATTATTTCAGTTAAATTCTGGCACTTACTGAGAGCTGTTGCAATGTAAGTCTCTGCCTTCAGAAGGAATATAGGGTGATTGCTGCTTGAGCTGTTCTTAAGCGAAAGATTGATGGGGGAGGCTGAAATGCTGCTGATGGTTGTCAAAAATATTTGCAGAACAGAGATTGCACATCCTTGCCTCTTGTGTTTTTTTTTCTCAAGACAAGTGTACTGTAAGCATTCTTACTGCAATCTTACAATGAACATTTGAATGTTGTAGTACAAAATGAACACTTAAGTCCACATTTCTGGACACCAGTCTTAACACACATCTTCCTTTGCAAATCCATTTAGCAGAAGATTGTATAGTTCATCTCCCCCTTATTAAACCTACAGAATTAATATTCCACTCTGAAACAGTGTTCTGTCTTTTTGAAGCCACTGCTAACAATGAAGAGTAGATTATAAGTACCTGTGTGCCACAGCTTTTATTCCTTCACACACAATTCTTTACAGGCCCATAATTCTTTTAATTAATTTCCTAAAGAAGCTGTGCATTGATAGTTCATTGTCTCTGTTAATATCGGGTTGGAAAGCAAGGTGTGAGTACAGCTTCAAGGTAATTTTTCAGTTGTTTGTGTCTGAGAATGTCACAGAAGAAAAATACTCTTCCGGTTCTTGGAGGGAGAGAAGATGAAAACAGCTCTGATGTATTTGTCAATGAAGGGTGTCTGAGGTGGTTTGCATGGAGGGAACATCTTGGGAAACACCTTAACATCCTTATCTTAATAAGGGTGAAAGAAGGATAAACCAGAATTGAACAATAAACATTGAATGATGTAGCCATAGATTCTGCTTTTATAAATATATGAAGGGATGCATAAATACCAAAGAAGTTGCTGTTGAAAGATGACTCTGGGAACTAAAATATGTATTACTCCATGTGCTGTATAGTACTCACTGAGTGATGCTCATTTGATATGGTGGCTTCAACTTCCACATGGTTTATCTCCAGGTAGTATTTCTTTGTTGCAGAGGAGGATTTGTTAATTTTTCTTCTCTATCTTTTATTGCTGTTTACCACTAAATAATTATTGGCACTTACACTTTTTTCTATAATTCTGTTTAGTTGGTTAACACAAGTTCATACTCTGATCAAGGATTTATTTCACTCTGTTAGCTGGTTCTGTTTTTGGAGGGGGGGTTTTCTTTATTTAGTAGTTTTTGTTGGTTTTTAGGGGGGGCTTTTTTTTTTCCTTTTATTTTTGGGGGTGGAGTTGGGAGGTGGGATTTTTTGTTTTTTGTTTTCGGTCTGTTTTTTTGATTTGGGTTTTTTGGGTTTGGGGGATCCTTTTGGTTTTTATCTTGGGGGTTGTTTGGTGGTTTTGGTTTGGTGGGTTTTTTTTTTGTTTGTTTGTTGTGTTTTTTGGGTTTTTTTAATTGTTTGTTTGGTTTGGTTTTTTGAGGCTTTTGGTAGCTCAGATTTGCTGGGAGATGGGGAAGCTATCCTGCCTGAAATTTTTGAAGTATGTTGGTGTCGTAAGGACTGCCTTCTCTAAAAGCAGTACTCTATGGATTTGTGGAATTCTGTGATTCTATGATATTTTCAGAGCATCACAGTTCTGTTAGACATAGTCTTTGGTACCAAAGGTAAATCTTGAACACCATAAACCCTGAGCCAAAGGCTGAGCATGAGATGGCAGTCAGGATCTATGGTGCTGAAGGTATGCCCACAATATTGATTCCTCTTCAGTTTTGCTCTTTTTTTCTCTTTTTTTTTTTTTTTTTTTTTTTTTTTTTTTTTTTTTTTTTTTTTTTTTTTTTTTTTTTTTTTTTTTCCTCTTTGGAAAGGGATGGCTATCACTTCAGATTTTGAGCTACTTCAACAACTTAATTAAAAGTTGAGAGATATGTAGGTAATGCTCATTACAGAGTCTTCAGTGCACTATGTCAGAGACAAAACCCAAGGTGTTCTGCGTCTCAGTACTGTCTTTACAAAATTGTAAATGCATGGAATGTGTGGTCAGAGGAGAAAATATCAAGACGAACCTGACTGACATGTGATGGAGGGGGGCTGTGGTGAGGCTCCTGTGTGTCTCTGGGGTGTGTTTGGGATGTCACTGGGCTTTGCTGCTGCTTTTTTCTTTAACCACATCCCTCAGCCTGGGCAGAGACCCCAGGTTCTCGGCAGGTCTGGACTTCAGTGGCTGTGGAGGAAAGTCCTGGGCTGGAACACTCCTAACATCCTTTTAACAGGCAAAAACCAGTGTTAGCCTTGGGTTTTGCAACATCCTGTGGCCTGTTACTGGGATGTCATTTTTTCCCAGTGCGATCCTGGATGTAAGATTCCTCCTAGTTTCACTTGGTACCAGATTTGGGCCATATTTTGTTCGTATTAATATTGTGTACATGGCCCTCTGCCTCATCTCTGGAGGTGACTGCTGAATGTGCATCTTTGCTCTAGTTTTTTTTTAATCAAACAAAACCAGAAAGAGGAAGTAGAATTACCTGAATGGCAGAGGTCTCTGGATTTCCCAGATTGTTACAATTCTTGTGTCACATCCATTGAAAACTGGAACTTTTGAGTTTGCTGGTTGAATCTCTGGGCCTGCTGCAGCCTGCCCTGCTTGTTGAAATGTGAAATCTTTTATTGCATTGTGAATCTTGTGCTTCTTAGAAAAGGCATGATTTTGCCCTTAACTTTATATCTTTACTTCCTTGCCCTTGGATGTTACCTTCTGTTTGGCCACTCACATCCTGTTAAACAGCAATAGCTTGCCCCTGTTGTTTTCGTGATACTTTTTATATAGACACTGTGGCTTTAACTGTTTGTTTTAAATGGAGTCGCTGTGCTACAGGAAATAATGCAGTTTTATGTATCCTCCACAAAACACTGCAGGAGAACTTGGGCTGTTCTGGGTGTGCACATTTCTGGGCTCTGAAATATGCCTGTGTGGATTAAAGTTATGTAGGAGAGTTCATTTTTTGATGACTCGCCTTGCAAAAATGTTTTAGGGGACATTTTTAAGTGTGCTTTTTCTTTTTTTTTCAAAACTTTGGATTCAGTTGGGCTTTTTTGTTTGCTTGCTTCACAGTTTTACTTGGCTTTTCTTTTCATTTGTTGACATTTCTGAGCTTTATTTTGTCTTTTTATTTTCTAGAAGAACCAGGCAAGTGCTAATGTCAGCAAGCCACTCCAAACAGAGACAAGTGGAGCAGCTGCTTCTGCTCAGGTAATGTGTACTTAAAAAAACTAATTTTTTTTTACATGTGGAGAAAATTTGGTGTGACTCCATGCCCTGCACTGGGATCAAAAATTATTTGTTTCCCAACATTCAGCACCACAGGGATGCTCTTCATGACTTGCTAGAAATTGTAACCTGTTGAAAGGGGAGCACAAGTCAGCAGAACCACAGTCTTGACATCCGTGAGGAAATAAATGGTAACATTCTCCCTTTTCACATGATCTTTGTTAGTCTCCCAGTTATTTTAAAGAATCCTGACCCTGATGATTTCAGTGGGCACCTTCATTTGACTTTTGGGGGGCTGTGTTTTTCACCCTGAGGTGTTGGTATTTTTTTGTGTTCTGTTGACTTGGTGGATCTTGGTGAGTTTGAAGAACTGAGAGCTTGTTTTTTCTTTCACTGCTCCCAGAGCAGTTCAGCTGATAATTCAAGAAACATTTTAAAGCTGAATTGCAAAGGAGTGCAGGTGATATGCTCTGAGGGTAAGCAGGGTGCTCAGGTCTTGCAGAGTATTGAAAGAGGGTGTTGAAAATGCTCTTGCTGATGCTGCACCTGGTAGCCATTGTTAGGTGCATAATTGTCACAGGTGAGTGAAATGCATACACTTAGAAGAGAAGCAGCAGTATGCTTTACTGAGGTGAAGAAATATTTTTGTTGGAGTTTAGTGAAGTTTGACAGTAAAGTTTAGCCCAGGAAGAGCTCAGACAGGGCCAATTTTGTGGCAGTGCTCAAGAGTGAGGCAGCTGGGTGCTGGTCAGCAGTGGAGATGAGATCAGTGTCTTTGTTTAGTTCTGGTACCGTGTTCTGTACTTGAAATTCTGGGTTTCAGAAGCACCTTTTGATGTACTTCTCAACCCACCTTCACTCCCATGTGTGAGCCAGGGGCTTTCCAGCTCCTTGGCTCACCCACGATGTGGAGCTGGCTGAGAGGGGTCCACAGATCCACCACAGTGTTCCGTGTCTGGGGGGAGCCTATTGTTGGATAGGATCCTGGCAGCAGGAAGAGTTTCTGCTTTTGAATGGGATTTTTTACTTTCTTAATCAGTGCTTTTGTGAAATAATACAATTAAGATGTCTGCATGTTTCCCAAGTAATTTATTTTTCCTTTTTACTCAATGATGGAGGAAAGAAATAAATACTGTTGTCCCTTTTTTTCAATGTTTCTATCTACTACTAAATACAGCCCAGCATTTTTAATAGGTTGTTTTGGTTTTTTTTTTTGCTTTTCTTACTATTCCTTGCTCTTTGCCAAGGTTTACTCCTCCTAATCAACCTGGATGTCACCAGCTGCATAGTCCCACAGATGCTTACATCTAATTTTCTGGCTAACACAGATCTGAGTCTTTTTTTTCTTTTTTTTTTTTTTTTTTTTTTTTTTTTTTTTTTTTTTTTTTTTT